TATACTTACTTAGCAGCTTACAAAGTTGATGACAAAGTATCGACCTATCATCAGAAAAAAAGAGTAATTCCGAGAGATATGTAATATTAATAGACAATGAGTGAGCAAAGCTGGAAGCACGTTATTATTATTTTACTTAACTACTTCGGGGCAAACGAGCAGATGGGTCATCTGATGGTAAATGACCCGTGAACACCTGTTCAACTCAAGAGACACAAGTGCGCTGCCACCTTGAAAGAATTGCTTAACAACGATTTTTTGTCAGGACGTGGTAATCGATCGATACGAACACATTTTATTCAAAATAACCTGTTAAGCCTATTAAAACCTGGCTTCAGTTTTTTTCTTCTTTAATCTTCGTAAATATCATTATGTCCTCTTCCGTTTATAACTCAATTGGTTACTCATTCGTCGACGTCAAATAAAAAATGATCTTAATGTATCCTTAATAATCCATTTTCACAGAAATAGATCATTCTTCAAAATATATAACGACGTGTCATGGCCTGTCTTCTGGCTCTACGATACAAATGAAATTGTCTATAGTAAACCATGGTTATCGACATTGACACGCCAGCAAAAGACGGTTAAAAATGGATGTTAGCTAGCTTTCCTTTAATTTGAGCAATTATACTGTTCATGTACCTTGTAACAAACCATAAACTTTTCAAATACTATTATTAAGTCTCTCTGAGCACAAAAGTCGAGTAAAGAACACTGGTTATTTAAAAAGTAACAAAGTTCTACATTACTAGCTCCTAAAACAGGATTAAACTACACACAGAAAACAAACAAATTAGTTACTCGGTTCATTTTCATTTAAGGACGAAACACGTGTTTCTTTTTTTTTTTTTTGTTAAAAACTGCGGTTATTAACTTTATGAAGAAGGTAAAACATGTAATTGTTATATTTAATGAATATTCCGGTTGCTACGCCGCTTCGTCAAGGTTGTCTGCTCTCGTGGTTACAGCCACATACATAATAAAATTAATTTTGCAACGGACTTGTGCACAGTTTATAATGAGTGGATTTCAAGGAAAATAAACAACCGAATATAATATAATACCTACCTAATTATTAGAAATAGAATATATGTATAGCCCCATACTAATCTGTAAGTACTGTCTGTGTGCTTTCGATTATGTTGAACTTTACACAACCCCAAAGAAGGTATTAGAGTTACATACCTACTAGTTAGTCTAGTTACCTATTAAAAAGGCGACGATGATCGCTACACAATAACATGATTGCTACATAATAACAGGTATAGTACCTATGCAGCTAAATACAGAAGTCTTCATAGTAAACAAACCACTTAACAAATCTCTGAATACCGACTTTGTAGGTATTATAATAAACCTCTTAAGTTGAAATCTTTATCAATCTGAAAAGAGTACTTTGAACTTGGTGGTTTTTGATAAGACACACATTATTATATCCTATGTTTTCTAACGAATTGTGAAGGTATTGCACTCAAAGAAAACTCAAAGAGAATAAGATATCGATTCAAATTAGTTATGCAATATACCGCTGTGTAAGTTCGTGAAGTCATTGGCAGCACGATCTTAAAATACTATTTGTACATAGACATAGAATACGTACGAAGATATAGCTCTTAAAGCATTGAAAACCGAAGATAGTGCTGCCATCTTGGAGCTTCGAGAGACAGCGTAGTTAGTGTTAACAGATCCAATAACTCTAAACACTTTTAGTAGAAAAGTATGGTCTCGGTATTTAACACTGTCTCAGTTATGTTCAACTGTCGACCAACAGTACTATACCATAAAAATACACTCACGCCTTTATCCTCCAGCGCGTACGAAGAGGCGTATTTAGCACATTCATTCTGCCAATATAGTTTTATCCCACAGTTGTGAAATTAACTACGGGAAAATTCTATACACATTAAAGGGCAACAGCAGGTAACTCCTTAAGGTATATTGTTTTTACAAATGGATTTCACCGTGCGCTCGAACAGTTGAGTTACATAGCATAACGCAAACTTTGAACATTATTTCTATGAAAGGTACTTAGTATATCGTTTAGTTAAGCAATATAATGAAATACATAAGGCAAGGAATGGAAGAGGTTTTGTGGTGGGCTTTGAAAGAGGATAGGGTGACGGTGCAGAGGCGGCCTTTGGGAATGGTGTGCAGGGCAATTGCCGCGGGGCCTCACTCATGTAATTGCTTAGATATAACTGGCGCTGTTGCGTAAACCAACTAGCCAGCATACTAAAAAAATAGGTTTATTTGCATTTCGCGCCTTATACGCTCACTTCACTTTATAAGTGGTAGTTATCGTGGTGTTTACGATTTACGTTTGGTGGATTTTCCGTGTTTCATTTCGCCTGTCATTTTGATTGGCTGTCAGTATCAACTGTCATCGGCTTATGTTGACAAGGGTCTCGCATAAATTTCTCAGGTGGCCAGCAGTAGGAAATAGGAAAAAAGGAATCAGTAGTAAACTGACGAGTGATAGAGGAGAATGGAAGAAGAAAACTGAATTAGCCGACCCACAATAAATTAAAAAAAGGACAAGATGATGATGCAATACATACACTTCAATCAACGATGACCGGCTAGAGCGCTCGAAATGGAGAGAAGTTAAAGTAATCTTCATCCCCAAACCGGTGACTGAACCCCAACTGCCGCACTAGAGGTGGTTCTTGGTCTGCACCCACTGGATTTGTTCATACAGTAAGAGGTCGCCATGGCGATCATTATAATAATAATAATAATATTGTACCACATTTACACAACGCCATCTAGTCCCAAACTAAGCAAAGCTTGTGCTATGGGTACTAGACAACTGATATAAATACATATATACTTTATTTTTTGTAAATACATACATATTATACATAGAAACACCCAGACTAAATCAAACATTAAATGTTCATGCACACAAATGTTTGACTGAAGCGGGAATTGAACCCGCGACCTCTGGAATAGTAGTCCGTTACACAAACCACTACGCCTTCCGGTCGTTATTAGACTCAGATACCTGGTTCTGTGGCATAAAGGTGAGGGATCGCACTCCAAATTATGCGATCAATCAGTGGAATACGAACCACTACGAACTGGAGCCGGAGTTTTCTCGCAAGACCTAAATGTAACAATATTGCTTATGTCCGATGTCTATAATGACCTCATAGACTAATGGCAACAAAGCTGGGACGAATCATCTAAGGGATGCCACCTTTACCAGTTATTTCCTCTGGGAATGTAGTCTTTGGTATAATGAACGTAATATAATGCTAAATAGCTTGCAGGTGACATCTGAGGCGGTATATAACGGGGATGTTGTGGCAACTAGGGTGAATTTCCGTGCGTTAAGGCGATTCTACCATACATATTATAGAAATCAAATATAGCTTACTTAGGACCCATAATATTTTGTGGCCGTGGTGCTTCCCTGTTTAAAAGGGTGTATGCATATTTTACTTCATTTTGTCCCGTTTTGCTAAGGAGGGAAGTGGATTTACTGTATTTTCAACTCCTCCAATTTTCTTCTGTTTAATTTCGTTGCGGGTTCCAAGACAGTTTTTTTTTTTTTTTGCTGGGACTTCCCGAGAGTCACAACAACCCTGGCTACCTGCCCAACTATACTCCAGCTACTACCTTTTAACCAACTTTAATCCTGGGCCAGATAACGGACTCGTGAAGCACACAACCAAACTGATGCTGACTGAAGTCACACCACGACTCACCTGCAGACTGATCAGTCTTAGCAAACTAGATATTCTAATAGTTGTATTAACTATGACAGGACATCTATCTTTGACCCGACAACTATGCACTATTAATGCGACGGACAGTCCTCTTTGCAATCCTGGAATGTGGTCACACAACGAGCAAGTATTATACCTGATACAAAATTGCGCTTCTGAAAGGTGCTTGGTTGGCTCACCTAGCCAACCTTCCTCTAGGTTACGCATAAAGAATCGTTCTTCAGTCTAAATGCCATCAACCAATACCATCAACTGGTGCGCCTCCACGGCAGCAAAGTCAGAACATGAAGCCTCCGGCCGAGACGACCAACGAGTCATCGTCAAGTCAAAAATTGTTTTAAAAAGAACACATTCATCTGATATATCCTCCGCCAGATCAATCGTTTATACTTTTTTGGCTTTTAAGGCAATCACTCTAACTTCTGCTTCAGATATTGTATCTAATTTGCACAACAATGGAAAACAACGGTTAACGTGTCATAGGAAATGCTGCGCTTCCTTAATTCGCCCAATAATTGGTCGCATATTAGGAAGAAGGTCGCATATTGGTAGGAAGAAAGATGGACCCCTCAACTGGCCACGTCCTTGTAACACCACTTCTCCCTCGCGACACTCATCATCTTGTTTGTTTCTTTTTTCTCGTGTTAATTTTATTTGTATAGCTTTTTTAATTTTTTCATTCATTATTTTCATTCTCAGCACCCAGATTCAGAACAAGTGTGTCCCATGTGGTGATCGGGGATTACTATTACTTATTTATCGGATAAACTTAATTAAATTAAATATAATAATATAAATATTTGTACTGTGTACACGCCATACGTACCATTGCCACTTTGGTAGATAAATTAAGCACGCCAACTGTGGTAGTTTTTTTAACGGTAGTTTCTTAGGTGTTTTAGAAGATTTTGCATTACGGGCTGGCAACATTTTTTTAATTGGCCGCCACCCGTGAGCGAATCGTTCGCTCGATCTCGCTCTGTCGATCGAGTTCGGTGTGGAAGCCATTTTATTCTTGTGAATGTGAGAAAGTAATTTTTTTGTGATATTTCGTCCACAAACTAGACGTGTCAATGTGTACCTGCATTGAGTGTATTTTGTGACGTGTAATTGTGCTTTCAAAATTGATAATGTACGTGTTTCAAATTGGTTTGTGTTGACCTGCCCCGTTTCTTACGCGGTCGCACAGCAGGCATCGATTAGTGCAGCAAAGCGGCCTCTAATAACGGCTAATCAAAGGTGTAGGACCAGTTTGTGGTGTGAGCCATGGGCAACAATGCTGCCACCGCTAATAAGAAGGTGGACTCCGCCGAAAGCGTCAAGGAGTTCCTCGATCAGGCCAAAGAGGATTTCGAGGAGAAATGGAAGAAAAATCCTACCAACACCGCCGGACTGAATGATTTCGAGCGGATAAAAACTTTAGGTACCGGTTCATTCGGCCGAGTCATGATAGTTCAACATAAACCCACTAAAGAATATTATGCTATGAAAATATTAGATAAACAGAAAGTGGTAAAATTGAAGCAAGTCGAACATACTTTAAACGAAAAACGTATCCTTCAAGCTATTAATTTCCCGTTTCTGGTGAGCCTCAAGTTCCACTTCAAGGATAACTCCAATCTGTACATGGTCTTGGAATATGTTCCTGGCGGAGAGATGTTCTCCCACTTGCGAAAGGTAGGACGCTTTTCAGAGCCGCATTCGCGCTTTTATGCGGCACAGATTGTGCTCGCATTTGAATATCTCCATTACTTGGACCTCATCTATCGGGATTTGAAACCCGAGAACCTTTTAATCGATTCTCAGGGGTACCTCAAAGTGACAGATTTCGGGTTCGCAAAGCGCGTCAAGGGCCGTACGTGGACATTGTGCGGCACACCCGAATACTTGGCGCCTGAGATTATTCTTTCCAAAGGCTACAACAAGGCCGTGGACTGGTGGGCGCTCGGCGTTCTAGTATATGAAATGGCGGCCGGCTATCCTCCGTTCTTCGCAGACCAGCCTATTCAGATTTACGAAAAAATCGTTTCGGGTAAGGTCCGATTCCCCTCGCATTTCGGTTCAGATCTGAAAGATCTGCTCCGCAATCTACTCCAAGTCGATCTGACTAAGCGTTACGGTAACTTAAAAGCTGGTGTAAACGATATAAAAGGCCATAAATGGTTCACCAGTACTGACTGGATCGCCGTCTTCCAAAAGAAGATTGAGGCCCCGTTCATACCGCGTTGCAAGGGCCCCGGGGATACGAGCAACTTTGACGACTACGAGGAGGAAGCATTACGTATCTCATCGACCGAGAAGTGTGCGAAGGAGTTTGCCGAGTTTTGAGCTCGAGGCCTGTGCCTGCGAGCGGACACTGCCGTGAGTAGGTGTTTTTAGTGAATCTTCCGTGACATTTGTGTCGTGGAACGGTGACGAGTGCATCTCCTTGCCGACAGCTTTGGGTGATTATAGACGCTGAGGCGGGCCCTGGCTGGCACCCCATGTGGATCAAATCGGAGTGTAGGCGAGATGATAGTAGAACTGATTTCCGATATTTCGGTGGCGTTCATTTGCTTAGTGCCCTTTCAAGTTGACATAACATAGAGCAGGTAGAAGAGCAGAAGTGATCCTTGTTCTAGTGATATCCCCAAGTGTTACCACTGAAACATAGTACCATGTACCCACACCGATACTCTCAGCACCAAATGTCTTGGTACTTGGTCATTACTATTTATTGGTAGTTTGCTATTGCTACCATTTGGAGGTGGTGTGCTTTATTATATCAAATATTTTATATTATTTTTATGAAATCAGATACAATTTTGTAATAAGTATATATGATGAAAATTTCTTCTTGCTTTTGAGATATGCAAACTCAATTTGAATTTTATCTAATGACTTCACTTACCCATCAAACTAGAACAATTATGGCTACCATCACTAATATTTTCGTAGATTACTGAATTGAATTTCCTAAAACAATGTATTACTTATCTCGATGGAATGTTAATATTAATTACACATAGGAATCAATTAATTGACATTTCATTATTGGTTTTATTTATAGTGTTAATATTGTTGTATCGTTTGATATTTTTAACTAAGGAACTATTGCTACATATTGAAGAGATTAATTTATTGTAAATGTATTCATTGTAGTTGTGTTCACATGTGCAATTTGGCCTGTGTTTGTGATCTGATGCGAGGTTCATTTGGGTTTAAATGTAATTTGTATTAGTTCCTTATTTTGTAGGTTTAAGTCAAGTTACTTTAATTGTAAAACACAAGTGTGCATGAATACATCTCAAGTCAGCCTTGTACACTCTAGAACTGGGTCTTATTGCTAGCATCAGTTGTAAAATAGCAATAAATTAATGTTCATTTAAACATATTCTAGATTACACAAAAGCAATATTTTTATCATGTTAAATGTTAATAGTTTAATACATCACAACTTGCTAATGAGCACAAAATAACGAATGAGAGAATTTTTATAATATGGAAATGATGTTTTCATAAATATGAATAATAAGAATATGTTTAAAATGGATTTGTGATAACATTGAATGCACCTATGTGGTGATATCTTGTCATCGAGACTGATGTTATCAATAGACATGTTTCGATATCATTATGATCAAATTTACCTATTACTTTGGCCCACCATTCATTAGAGTGTGTGATACAAATTAATTGGCAATGTTTACTGTAAAGTTTGTTAGCTATTAGATGTAGGACTTTGAATCCAGGCTGTACAAATAAATATTTAGTAAAATGAAGTGCATTTTACATTGTGAGTGTCTGTGGTATTGGAATTAGGTTGAAAATCATGGGATGTTTACTTAACCACTAAATGCACATTCATATTTATTGTAAAATGTAACAAAATAATTTTCTGTGCTACATCTGACACATGCGATTGTCATCTCTGAGTTAGTTCTATCCTAGTTCTTGCTATTGAAACTGTTTACATTAAGGAATATTTATAAAATCATATCAAATTCTACACTAAATTAATTATTTGGAATCAATGTATATTGTGAATGCATTCTGTGTTTTGTAATGGTCAATCATGACTTTTAAATTTTGCTAATACTTTTTTTTTAAAAGCACTAAATTAAAAGCAATGTCTTTTGGTGGGATGTCTTTTGGCATATTTGAATGCTATTGTTTTTTTTTGGGATATAATTTAGGTGTTAGATCATTACTTATTATTGAAAATGGTGCCATATAACTTTGAGAATGGTCCCCCTGTGTAAATATTTAGATGATATTGTTAATGTTTTTTAATTCACTTTATATTTTTAAATCATTGCCTACTTTTACATGTTATATTGACATGCTAAAATGAATATATATATATATATATAAATATATATATAATTTATTATTTCAGTATTACCTTGCACCGGTTTGAATTATATAATAAATTAATAAAGAGCATAGAACAGTGAATAATAGAACAATACTTAATTAACTAGTCACTATTAAATTTGTTAATGTTTTAAAATGATTATTATATTTCTTTTTGGCAATTGGCAATGTTGAAAGCTTGGTGTTGATACACTTAGATTTTATTAAGATTAAGATAGTAGACATTTAAGATTAGTTTATTCCATAATGTAAATTGAGAAAAGAAAGAAACAATACAGTGTGAAAACCTTGTTACAATTTTATCCGCCGTCATTAAGTTGAAGGCGAACTATTAATTAACAATAGATTACTTTCAAGACATTGTTCTTAGCTAGTTTTAGTGAGACTTGTAATATTCATTTATATTTTCCATTGTGTGAGTAGTATACCTTTGTAATAACATTTGATGCGACAGTCACCAATTAGACATTGTTTAAATATTCTAATCGTATTTTCAAAAATTCAATTTAACTCCTGCAGTAGTGCTTATTACAGTGCCTGACTTGTTGACTCCCAAAGTAGACTTTATTTTAGGTAGTCAGCCATGGGAGTGTAAGGCATCTGCAGATTATGCCCATGGCGTATTGTGATGACCGAGCTAGTAGTGTCAACACAGTGTTTAATTTTTATTATCGTATTAAATAGAGTATCTGATGTGTACCCTGCGTAACAGTCATTGTATATAACTGTAGAGTGATCGTATCCCCACTAATTAGGTGATTCGATAACAGCTTAGATATCTGCAGTCTTTCATTCCAATTAGCTTCACAACTTGCTCATTGACACATGAATATTCTAATGTGAACATTATGTAATAAGCCATTTTGGATATTAAAACATTAGTGTGACAGTATGTGTATTTGCGAACAGTTGTCTTTTTATATCTGTGCGTATTAATATTCAAATGTTCACATATAGATCTATTATATCGAGTGCCTATAGCATTGAAAGTTCAAGTGTAAAAAGTCAGTTAATTTCAGTAATTATTTGTCACCATGTATTGATCTTCCATAAAATTACGATGAAATTAAAAATATCGATGTAACAGAATGAATTTGTTTCATTTTTACTATTTATATGTTAGTTATTATCAAGAGGCTTGTTTGCTGACTTAGTATAATCTATACGATAGAAGCATGTATACAATATTCACTGAAGACATTTGGCAGTACCGTATTTGGACGTAAACGCTCTGTACGAAGATATTTTTCGCCGAGATATCTAACATACCTATAATGTATTGTTTGACGTTGTTCGCACGTTTGGTAGAGCACGGCAGCTGCACGTGGGGCGGGCGAGCCGGTTTAATACGTGGCTTCCTAATAAAGCGAAATGCCCCGCCGCCCGTACACATCTTTGCCAGCCAGACGGACAATGATTTTGATTTATATCGTGTATTTACTAGACGATATAATGTAAATATATCACAACAATTATTTATTTCTCAACAATATGTAAAATGAGACATTATTCTGTGTCAATGTCGTTTTAATTACACAGAAACGAATTGCCAATAGTTATCAAAATTTATCATCTTACATACTTTAGACTAGAACTGGAAGCTCTTAAAAGGTTATTGATAATTTATAGAAATCGCAGGATCGAAATCTATATCGCAAGTTCGAATAACATAAATATAATTACATTTCACCAAAAATAAAACAAGGCAAGTGCGTCGTACTCATTCATATCAACGTACAAGATTTAACAGAACGTGTAAAATATTAAATAAAATGTAGAGTAAATAGAATAACATGACAATGTATACATAATTTTTTTTTCTAGTAGTAATACAAAGTTTTGAAGCGTACACAAACCAACTTAACATTTAAATAAAAAATACATACGTGTCGGTTGTAGATATATTAGAACTCGGTCTGGCGCCATTTTATTTACGAGGAGTTCAATCGTTCCCAGACAAAACTGATCCTGCGCATTACATAATACTTTCTTCTGGGTGTGAATCGAAGCCATGGACTTTAGGATCGCATCATTAACCACTCGGCCAACAGGCCACTGTAAAACAGTAGTAGCTCGATAGTTAGGATCCACTAACTCTTGACCGAAATTTTGTGTTTTCGTTAATTCGAAACCAAACCGAAAATGTTGATTCTTTCAAAGGGACAGAGTTTTGTATCTTAAGTAGTCTTAAAATATGTAGTAACAATTATCACTTTGCTATTGTCTTGTGTACTGTAAATATCTCGCGGCCATGTTGACGTGACGTATGTTCATAACAATTTAAAAATATACGATTCTTTATTTAAATATTTACTAGCTTATTTTAAGAGTGTGCAAAAGGCCACTAAAACGTTTTTAGTGTTATAAGTAATCATTGCTATCCGTACTTGTTGTCATTTTGTGGTGATATGTATTATTATTACGACAAAACGAGACATTTAATTTCTTTAAAAAAAGTGTCATAAAAACTACTACGGATATCTAATTTGCTTGTCATTGTTTTAAAAGTTTCACCGACTAAACATGATTCATTATATTAACTGTATACTATTCCATCATTTTCCACCATTGCATTAGTTTTTCTTTTAAATTTAAGTGGAGCTAAGCGCGAAGTATGTAAACTCTGCCTAATAAGAATTTGCCAAATCGTTTCATTAATAACGAGTTCTGAAGTAACAAACATAAAACATATACAATTTAAGAACCGACAGTTTTTTTTTGTAGTGGGTCAAAAACGAACCTGGTAAGTTATTTTAGATCAAGACAAGCTTACGGTCCTACATTAAGAGATAAAAGTTATCACGCTGATTAGTATACAAAAGTATACTACTTCCTAATATTAATTCTAGGACCGCGTCTGAGCCGCAGAACGACCTCCGTCCTCCATAAGCGCAGGCCTGGGGGTGACAGGTGTGGCCATCTGTCACCCTAGCAGAAGCAGGCCGGGGTGGCGGCGAGCGCGTTGCAAGCGC